CCACAGCTGACCTGCTAAAAATAACAGATTTTCTTGTCTGGATCTCTGAAAGCAGGACTTCAATCTCTGAACTTGTAAAGTTCGTCTTTTTATTTCGCTGTCATTTTCATGAATGGACACTTCCTTTTATCTGAGGTAGGAAACATAGCCTTATATGGTGTTTTGGGGGTGATAATTATGCTAATCTCCTCTCCTCGTGCACGTGCAGCTGGATACGAACAGGTGGAATTTACGCAGCTCATTTACACACTTTTCCTGATGATAGAAGAGTTTGTTGAATCTGACGTGGCATGTTCGTACGAACCCTTTGTACGAACAAAAGTAAGAGAAATTTAGGATAAGAATACGAACATGTTCTTGCATGAGGCCCAATGTTATCAAGGGAGTGTAGATTAAATGGGAGTTTGTTCGGGTTTTTTTAACCTAGGAACTCAGAGAGACACAGCAAAACCCGGCCGAACATTAAAAACAATGACAACAGAGGCAAGTGAGATTTTTTAAGATTCACTTTGCAAAGGAGAACCCATGCACTTAGCTTTGCTCAGATGAGCTCAGAGAAGTCCAATGAAGTTCTGACCTCTGTGGCCGTGATCAGACTTTTATTAAAATACGTAAATGTTGCGTCACAAGTAAAACAACGAATCAACACATCATTTGCTGGAGTATATCAAAAACACAGGAACCAATGAAAACACGGTTACTGGGGTTACGGTGTCTTATAAAAAAACCATGAATACTTGTTTTTTGTGCTGGACAGTGGAAACTTACAAGAATGTGGAGAACTGGTGGTTTCGATCATTAATTATAACCTAATCTCACAGAAACTGCTTCACAAGCAGTCTCATGGCAGCCAAACTAACCTTATCTTACAGAAAGGCCTTGAGAGCATTTTCCCATCCGTTTGCTTGACATGTTCCTGTTGAAAGCACATCTTGAACTAAACATTTGTAACGTACTAAAAACTTTATTTGATACACACACAATGAACTTTAATGAAATGTAATAAAGAAAAACCCTTTCAGAGTTCATTCCAGAGCCTGGGGGCCACAGAGGAGAAGGCACGGTCACCACGGGTCTCAAAGCGAGTGAGGAGAACCGTAAGGAGATGCTGATCCTGTGAGTGGAGGTCCCGTCTGGGTTTGTAAGGTGAAATGAGACATTTAATGTATTCAGGTGCTTGGCCATGAAGAGCTCTGAAAGTGAGGACCAGGATTTTGAACCGGATTCTGAATTGAACTGGAAGCCAGTGAAGTTCTGCTAGGATCAGGGAGATGTGGGTGAATTTGGAGGTTCGAGTTAGGAGTCTTGCTGCGGAGTTTGGACAAGCTGAAGGCGATTTAACTGTTTCTCATTAATAATACTCTGGATCTCTGGAGGTGTCTCGTCACCGTAGTCCATGTTGTCACCTCCCATCAGCCTTGTTTTGATGTTAACAGCATGAAAATATACGAACCTTATTCCAACATTTACTCTTGTCTTTAGTCATCCAACCTGGAACACCAGCATCACAACTGGTTCAGACAAAAATCAAAGTGGCTCATGGATGGTAGCAGGATCAGAATCTGACTGATACATGCCTCAGCGAAAGCCATCATTAAATTAGCTGTAATCAGAGCAGCTACGATTTTGACAGATTCTTGGAGTCTTGTTAGAAGAGGACCATCCCATAAAGACATGAACGCATTCCAGCCTGGGTGTGAAAGTTCTAGTTAAAATTAAAAAAAAAATGTTTTATTATCAAATATACTTACCGGCCACTTTATTAGGTACACCTTGCTGGTACCTCCTTTTGCCTTCAGGACTGCCTTTATCCTTCGTGACATTGATTCAACAAGGTACTGGAACCATTCCTCAGAGAGTCTGATCCATATTGACATGATAGCATCATGCAGTTGCTGCAGATTTGTTGGCTGCACATCCCTGATGTAAATATCCCATTCTACCACATCCCAAAGGTGCTCTACTGGATTGAGATCTGGTGACTGTGGAGGCCATTTCAGTACAGTGAACTCACTGTTGTGTTCAAGAAACCAGATATTCACTTTATGACATGGAGCGTTATCCTGCTGGAAGTAGCCATCAGAAGATGGTACACTGTGGTCATAAAGGGATAGACATGATCAGCAACAATACTAAGGTAGGCTGTGGAGTTGACACAATGCTCAGTTGGTACCAATGGACCCAAAGTGTGCCAGAAAAATATCTCCCATACCCCTGCACCACCACCACCAGCCTGAACCATTGATTCAAGGCAGGATCCATGCTTCCATGTTGTTGATGCCAAATTCTGACCCTACCATTTGAATGTCGCAGCAGAAATTGAGACTCATCAGACCAGACAACATTTTTTCAATCTTCTATTGTCCAGTTTTGGTGAGCCTGTGTTAATTGTAGCCTCAGTTTCCTGTTCTTAGCTGACAGGAGTGGTACCTGGTGTGGTCTTTTGCTGCTATAGCCCATCCTCATCAAGGTTTGATGTGTTGTGTGTTCAGAGATGTTCTTCCGCATACCTCAGTTGTAATGAGTAAATTTGAGTTACTGTTGCTGTTTTATCAGCTCCAACCAGTTTGGCCATTCTCCTCTGACCTCTGGCATCAACAAGGCATTTGCGCCCACAGAATTGCTGGTCACTGGATATTTTTTCTTTTTCAGACCATTCTCTGTAAACCCTAGAGATGGTTGTGAGTGAAAATCCCAGCAGATCAGCAGTTTCTGAAATACACAGACCAGCCCGTCTGGCACCAACAACCATGCCACTGTAGAAAATAATGCGCTATTCAAAAATGGCATGTTTGAATAAAAGCAGGAACCACTGGATTTCTTCTCTAAACTTTATTCTCGCCTTCTGACTCCAGTTTCGCAGCACAGTATTTTTAACTCTGGCTTCAGCAGAAGGCCTTGAGCTAAAATGCTCCTTGTGCACGCGAGAGGAGATTAGCATAATTACCACCCCAAAAACACCATATAAGGCTATGTTTCCTACCTCAGATACAAGGAAGTGTCCATTCATGAAAATGACAGCGAAAACTAAAAAGAAGAACTTTACGAGTTCAGAGATTGAAGTCCTGCTCTCAGAGATCCAGAAAAGAAAATCTGTCTTTTTTAGCAGGTCAGCTGTGGAATAAAAAGAGCTGCTAAAAGTATAATCAGCTGTGTTAAATCATTTTCATTTATTCAGAAGCGGCAGCTGTTTTAAATGGTGGAAAAGATTTGTAGTGCTCAAACTTTTTGTCGGAACTTGTTTTCGGCATTCTCTACAAAATACGTCTTTCTGCTGCTCATCTGTGATTTTGAATCCGAACCATCTCCAAATGATTGAGCCGGACCTAAAATAATAATTAAAATGCAACGTAGACCATCTCGATATAAACGATATAGGCTCGTCTTGTATCTCTTTTGAAAAAATCTTGATATTTTTAAAATCTCGAGATATCGCCCAGCCCTAGCCGGAGGGATAATTTATGTTAGTCTAAATTATTACATTTAAAATTATAACTCTAATTCAAGCAGAATAGRCTATTGTCAACATAATTATGGAGTGTAATTAATTTTCAACTCAAAATATCTTCAAACTAACGAAATGTAAAGTTATTAGTGAAGAAAATCCGTCTGAATTACAGCAGACTGACTGCTCGTAAAATATACGACAGGTCTGGACCGCACATGAATTTTGTTCGTATTTGAAAAAAAATCTTAGAATACGAAAACATTGGTGAATGCCACAAATTTTCCTAAATCACTCTGCAAAACACTTCTACCCATATCATAACAATTCAACCTTTTAACCTCTTCAGGCTCTTCCTGGTTACACCACTGAAGGTGGTTACTTATACCTCAGATGTCAGAACGTAACCAGCTTAAGTTTATACAGACAGAAAGAACACATTGATAAGATACACTGTTGTGAGATTGGTTTCTATTATATATTTATAGCTATGGTAGTTTGGTAGGATGACCACTAGGGGACACCAAGAGACTGGCAAGGGGTTAGACTAGTTGAGTGAAGAAGCGTTCATTTTGAATCCTGTGCTCCAGTGGTAAATAAAGGAGAGTTCTCATGACAAGACGCTCCCGTGTCTCATTTCATTTCATTTCATGACACACACCATCTCTTTCTCTGTTTTAGCCTTAAAGGCTGCAATGATCAGAAAGTATAAAATACAAAACTGCATCTAACATTCAGTTACACATTTACAAAGTTTCCTTTACCACGTTCAAAGTTAAATCATCTTTCTTCCCCATTCTGATGCTGGTTTGAACTGCAGCAGATCGTCTTGGCCATGTCTACATACCTAACTGCATTGAGTTGCTGCCATGCGATTGGCTGTCTCGACATTTGCATTAATGAGCAGTTGGACAGGTGTACCTTATAAAGTGGCCCGTGAGTGAAATAAGCTTTTTATATTTTGAACTCTAATTAGGGATTAAAGTTCCTTTTTGTTTTTTGTTGAATCATTGTCTCAAATGTCGTCTGTTACTACCTGCCCCCCTGGGTCAGTGCCTGTTTTGGTAAAGGAGGTGATGGTGATCCTGGTTAATGGGGAGGGAGCAGGGGGTTGGTTGTCAGTGTCACATAAAAGACGTGTCTGTGCGTGTGTCCCTTGTCCTCCCCGAGGGCAAAGCTTTACTCTTGGGTTGCGTGGTGTATGTTTCATTTTTGTGTGCTCCATGAAATGAGGGCAAGTTAATCTGTCTGTCACACAAGATACTGTGGCTCGCAGCCGTTAAGTGGGAAGGGTCTTTCTGTGGGCTGGGACCTCCTCAGGTCCCTCTTTTGTCTGCCTGTCTTACAAATTCTCTTCTGCTCCTGCTCCTTTCATTGTAGAACTTCCCCTGACTGCAATAACTGGATTTTTGTGTCTTTTCCTGCTGCTTCATGTTATTGCAGAAAACACTCACATCACATGTTGATATCATGCATTCATATTTCACAAACAAAAAACAGATAATGATGTCTTCCCCCCTTCCCCCATTTGCTGCTTCTGTCTCATATGTAACAGACTTGGATTTACCAAAGGGCATTCGTTTCTCAGATGTGACTGACACATCTGCCACTGTTCACTGGGTGACTCCAAGAGCTCGGGTGGACAACTACCAGGTCACCTACTTACCTGCCCACGGAGGTCAGTATCTCTGTGAACAGAGAAACACACACTATTATTGTTGTTTATTCTATTAAAGGCCAATCTATGGAATTAGTTTTGTGCCTTAAAGATTGAGAAAAACTCTTAAATGATCAGACAAATTAAGAATTTGAGAAAAATAACTATTAAAAAGTAATTTCAAAAGCAAAACTTAAAATCTGCAATCAAAACCTTAAAGCAATATTGTAAAGTATTTGTCTTGTCTTTGTTAGATAGAATAGATTTTTGTTATCAATTTTCTCTGTTTCATTCTCAGTGGTCAGAGTTTTTCTCTCACTGACGGCTTTGCCAGCTATTGAGAAATGTTGGACAATGTGTAGCATTTGGAGTCTGTGCTGTGAATGACTCAACTACTTATCACACCAAAACAGAGTTCAGTTTCTGTAAAATGAGACAGTCAATATTTACTTTAAGAGATAATGTCAATATTTTATGCTAGATATGAAGATATGCTAGATATGAAGCTCAATGTCTGTAAATATGGCTCAGTAACAGTCATATAACACCAGAGAAAATACACAAAACTATTATTGCCCCGTAGCCTTTTGCTGTGGGTGATAAAACACTCAAAGGTTGGAGTGTTAACTGAGAATAGTATCTTCCAACTTAACTTTTAACTTTTATTCTTTTTTTTTAATTTTTATATTTAAAATAAAATGAAGCTTTATTTTATTCCAAAAATAACCGTTTTTGGTTTTGGAGACTATTAATTGCTGTCCAGCCAGCTTGGATGTTTTAACTCTAACCAGCATCATTTTCCTCTCCCATACTAAGGCGACACTGCCCTCTACTGACTACTTTAGGCATGTCCTCTAAAGACATATCAAGATGAAAAAAATAACAATGAACATCAATTATGTATAACACATTTAATAGAATCTGTTTCTTAATTTCATTTAAATCAAAACATATAAAATATATTTCAATTACAACCGATCATTTGGATAAATGAGTGTGACGAAAAAGTCCATTTAGTCTGAAGTGCATTTATGAACCTTTTCTTGTGCTGAAGTCAAATTCTCAACTTTTCCAGACTATTTCCTGAAATAAAAAAGTTGGAATTTCCACAGATTAAATGACATAGTCCAGTGAAATAACTTTAGGTGAGGAAACACAAGTAAAGAAACATGCTGAGATACTCAACATTTGATTTAAAAATAATAAAGCTAAAAAATTTAATATTTATTTTCAGAAAATTGATACAACTTGTTTTAACTTCCAGGTAATGCTAAGACGCTGACAGTGGATGGCTCTGAGTCTCAGACAGTGCTGCCCAACCTGACACCTGGGGTCACGTATGAGGTCACTATTGTTGCCCTCAAAGGTCAGAGGGAAAGTGAGCCAGGATCGGACAGTGTCACCACAGGTATAAGACATAACAACATGCACAGGAAAATATATTAGTTCTTTTTTTGTTTGTTTGTATGTTTGTCTTATTCAGAAATGTAGATTTGTCAGTTAGGAGCTGCACAGACACAGCACTCAAGACACATTCATCAGAATGCATAACTTAGGCACAAACAGGAAGCAAAGAGGAAGAAAGGAAGTGTTCTACCTCACTACTTAAAGCTGTGTTCAAAATAAATCTGCTTTTGCTCATGTAGTTGTGTGATCAAAATGAAGTTATTTTGTTCTTGCAAGAGCTCTGAGGAACTGTTCTGTGCACAAGGTCTAGGCAGAACTTTATTTTGCAGTGGTATGCATCTGTGGGGGTACAGTCTACACTTCTTATAACAAAAGTTATAAGGAAATACATGGGTTCTTCTGTTTAAGGAAACAAACAACCTCTGTGTAAATATGGGACCACACAATAAGTGAACGTGGGAAAGTGACTTGTTTGATCTAACAATAAATGTGATCATTTATTTACAGAATCAAATAAATCACTACTATACAGCTTATTGCGGACCAATTACCTATAAAAGGTTTAACAACAAACTTTTAGGTTTAGATGTTAATAAACCATTTGCTTGTGGCGCTTCTTCTTAAGTTTTGGCAGGGCAGGTTTAAGAGGAAAGAAAGGAGGAAGAGGATTTGTTAGTTTTAACTTTATCCTTAAAAATGTGGGTTTTAACCAGAGGGCATATGTCTCTCAATGAAACCACCAGACCTCATGTACACTCAATAACGGTCAGCCTTTACCTTGGACCTTGGTTCAAGTCAGGGAAGATCGTCCATTTGGGGTGAAGAACTCTCAGATCCTCATCCAGCTGGACACTTCTAGGCGCGTTACTCTTCAGCGTGTATTGGGTTCTTTAAATCAAAGATCAGAGATGAGGCACTTCTCTGTATCCTTCTCAAAAATAGAATAATTCCGCCATGGAAGTTTCAAAACAAAGGTTGCTCTGATAATGGTGAGCAGGATGGAGTTGTCCTACTCGGCTGTCGGGTTTCTCCCTTTTTGCGTGTGGGCCGAAACCTCCACAGCTTAGTCGCTGATTCTCCTTCTCCGAAGAAAAACAACTACATCCTCGTGAAGCATGAGCGCGTTCACTCGGCAACTCAACTAACTGTGTTAGTTCAGACCAAAGATATTAATTTAAAAGTAGGAAGTTAGTGAAGGACTGCCAGGTGTTGTTTTTCTTAAACAAAAATTGTTGATGTCTGCAGATGTTGTACAGTCTCTTCTGACCTGCTCTCTGTTTAGAGTACTTAAAGAACACTTAAAATCCCTTAGCAGTTGACCCTAAAATTCCTTTAAGACCTTTTTTTTAGCATTTGTAAGGGTATCAAGCTCCAGAAAAAAAAAAAACAGAGGAAGTCATCGGACAACTTGGTTTTCAAAAAAATGCTCCAGGTAACATCTGGAAATATCAGGAAATGTTTAAAGGCATAAACCAAATAATTTTTTGCCCACCGGTGGAACAAAGACTGAATGAAAACTTAAAAATTAATTATTTTATATAAAAAAATTCATTATGATGATTCAGACAAAAATAATTATAAAATGTTTTATAATAAAGCTTAACCA